AGATGATCTCTAAAGTCTCTTAGCACCTACATCACTAGCACCATACATACATACATATGTGCGTATATGTATGTATATGTATCAGTGACATTAGGAAATCTGAGTAAGGGGTGTGTGTGTGTGTGTGTGTGTGTGTGTGTATGTGTATGAGAGAGAAAGAGAGAAGAGAGAAAGAAAAAGAAAGAGATTAAGATTCCAGTTTTTAAATGTTTTGGCAGCTTTAAACCGTGCCCTCAGTTCAATTTTCATGTTCTGCTTCCAGATATTCAAGAGACTTTATACACTTTAGGAAATTAATTAATTATCAAATCTCTTAGAGAGAAAAATTGCCACCCCTTCCAAAGATTAAAAAAAAAAATAACCCTTAGACTGCTCTAAAAGTAGTTAAGCTACCCACTGCTAAAGGAATTCATTGGGAGGTTGAATGACCACCTGTCAGGGGTGCTGTTGAAAGGATCCCTATATTGGGTGAACAGTTGCACTTGATGACCTTTAAGGTCCCTTTCAAGTCTGAGATTCTGTGGAACATTCTTAAATGGACTGACAGAAGCATGTGTAGGCAAGTACTGCTGCTCCTGGTTTTCTGACCTAGCTAGGAGACTGCTTCACCTCCCAAAGCTCTACTGCTGACCACTCCTTTTTGGTATGGCTTTGGAGCAATAATACATTTTACCTATACCACTCAACGCTGAAGCTCTTTGCCTCAATTACCCTTCAGTCTTTAATTAAACACAACTCCATTCATCCCAGAAAACCAGGTTACCCCACACACTGCAGGGACCAACTTGCAAACCCTGCTTATGAATATTTATCAGGTACTCCAAGAAGATACATTGAAACAGAAGAGTCAGACATGTGGCTCATGGGCCACGTTTGGCCCACAGCACTCCCAAGTGTGGCCCAAACCAGATTAAAATGTTATTGGGAAGTATTTAATAAAATAAATAAAAATACAAGAAAACTTGGATAATTTTAAAACTAAGCCAATATGAGGCCCACAGGGATCCTCACGGATGATTTAGTAGCTCCATTTTCTATTTGAGTTTGACAACATTGCACTATAAGAAATATGGTAGGGAAGGGAATGGAATAAGCCTTTATTAATTTGCCTACTGGGGGCCACATACTCCCTATGTTAAAGCGCTTTTAAAAAAAATCTCATTTGATCCAACAACTCTGCAAGGTAGGTATGATTATTATCCCTATTTTACAGCTGAGGAAACTGAGGCAAATAAGAGGTCAAGTGACTTCCCCAGGGTCACAAAGCTAGTAAGTATCTGCGCCTGAATTTGAATTCAGGTCTTTCTGACTCCACATTCAGTATTTTATCCACTGAGTCACCTATTTGCCTTTTTCCATTCCAATATCTTTTCCTTTTTCACTTTTCAATTAAATGCCATGGGAATCAACTGGACTTTCTGGACTTTCATGGACTACTGGACTTTCCCTGTTGACTGGATAAGAGATTTGGTGAAAATGATTAAGCTCTTTGAGAGTGGACCTGCGGTCATAGCTGGAGACTGAAAAATGGGTTCCATGGAGAACTGTACATGGCAGGTCAAATGAACTACTTAATGTCCAACTCCATTTCCTCTACCAAAACATACACTAAAAATGTTACTGTATATTAATTCTATATCAAGAACTATATTTTTGTGGTTTAGAGAATAGGGGAGAAGGACGGGGGGGGGAGAGACAGAGAGAGAGAGAGAGAGAGAGAGGGAGGAGGGAAGGGGGTGAAAGGAGGAGGAAGGAGAGAGGAGAGATTTGGACTTGTGAATTCATTGGTTTAGGGAAATCCTGGAGCAAAAACACCCTCCACAAAGCTGACTGCAACTCTTCTGTTAACTTACAGCCTTTAGAAGTATCCTGCCTATGATCACATCGTGACTATTTTAAGTCGTCAACAAGCATTTACTAAGCATTTCCTACATCCCAAGCACTATGCTAAGTGCTGGGGATACAAAGAACAGTAAATACAATCCTTCCCTCAAGGAGCTTACATTCCAATGTGTCAAAATTCAGGACTTGAACATAGATGTTCCTGACTCTATGACTAGCTTTTCCATTGCTTGTCCCATAAAACTTTTTTTTCCTAAAAGACATACATTATCACTTTATAATTACATTGCATAAATTTGTAAAATGCAGTTTGCTTTTTTTTAAGCTTTTAAAAGATTTTCAGTTACAAATTCTCTCCCTTCCCCAGACATTGAGAAAGCAAGTAATATGATAACCATTTTACATGAAGTCATGTAAAACACTTCCATATTAGCCATATTAACAAAAAAAAAAAAGGCAAAAAAATATGTTCCAATCAGCACTCAGAGTTCATCAGTTCTCTATCTGAATGTGGACAGCATTTTTCATCATGAGTTCTTTGGAATTATCTTGGATTACTGTACTGATCAGAGTAGCTTAAGTCTTTCACAGTTGATTATCCCTAAAATATTGCTGTCACTGTGTTTTTCTGGTTTAGTTCATCTAAGTCTTCCCAGATTTTTCTGAAACCATTCCCTTCATCATTTCTTATAGTATTCCCTCATAATCATATACCACAATTTGTCAACCATTTCTCAACTGATGGGCATTCCCCCTCAATTTCCAATTCTTTGCCACTACAAAAAGGGCTGCTATCAGTACATATACCACCTTTTCCTTTTTCCTAGATCTCTTTAGAAAAGAGACCTAATAGCAGTATGGCTAGGCCAAGGTATGTACCATAATGCCTTTCAAACATCATTTATAAGCCTACAAATAATATGGTCATGCAAGGTTATCCCTACGGCATAAGAAAGCCACAATGAAAGTCTTATGATGCAGAGCTGATCTGTAGAAAGTCTTGCTTTTTTCAAACCATCTTAAAATGTTTTCCCTCTCTACTCACCCTCTCTTAGTTCAACGCCTACAATTTAGAACCGTGAATCAATTTAAAAAATTGATGAACATTAGTGTCATCCCTTCTGCCCTTTCTAGTAAAAATGGTAAAAAATACCTGCAGCATACAGAGACAAATCTCAGGAGGAAGAAGACAGAAAATTAGCCTTTACAAGGGGGGCACGTTTACTCCTAAATAATTGATGGTTGGCCACGCAGTCCTCGTGCAATTTGGCAGGGATTATGAACAATTTTCCTTGACTTAGGACTTGCTCCAATGCCTCCTCATAAAGAAATGGGTTCTCAAAGACCATGCCAAGGGCACTCGAGACCTGGCAGGTCCTATCACGCTGGAAAGTCTTTCAGTACTGCCCAGGAACAGATTCTATTTCTGTTTCTGTCTTCCAAGAACCAACCTAGCCAAATCAGAGGCTCATCCCCAGAAGCCTGGCCACCAGGGGACTTCTTTTTTTTTTTGCTGCAATCTACACCAGTGAACCTACACAGATGAAATCACTGGTCTTCCAAAGCGTGAACTGTTTTCTGTAGCTCCTTGAAGAGAAGCCTGGATTTCGTGTCTGGCAGACCTCGGTTCAAATCACAGGTAAGTGCTGACATTGTGAGAAATTAAGTGACCGGCCAATGGCCACACACCTAGTGTCAGAGGCAAAATTATAGCTTCAGGGCTAGAAGGAAACTAACAAGTTGAGAATCACAGAATTTAGGAGCTGGAAGGAGACTCAGCTGCCACCCTTCCCCATTTCAGGGATAAAGAAACTAACACCCACAGAAGTTCAATGATTTTCCAAGCTCCTTAGCTAGAATTTGAACACAGGTCCTCTGATTCCAAATTGAGCATCCTTTCCACTATAACATGCTATTGCTATTACATAATTTGCAATTTATCTCCTAGATAGACCCCAAAATTTTCCTCAACTTATCTGACTTTGTGAACATTTGTCGCTGTTGTTCAGTTACTCAGCTGTTTCAGTCGTGTCCAACTCTTCCTGACCCCATTTGGGGTTTTCTTGGCAAAGACACTGGAGTGGTTTGTCATTTCCTTCTCTAGGTTCATTTGACAGATGAGAAAACTGAGGCAAACAGGGTTGAGTGACTTGTCCAGGGTGACACAGCTAATAAGTGTCTGAGGCCAGATAGGGGTAACTTAAAAAGGCATCATTTAACATTTTATCTTGCCTAGAACCAGGGCATCAAGCTACTTTGCAATCATTTCCAAACCATGCCCCTTGCCCCCTGGCCATCTTCTTCATTCCCCATCCCACAGGAACTCTGATTCTTTTCCTAGAAACCTGGACGTTGATAGTAAGCATCCATCTCATCTTTCCCAGAACCAGCCTACCATGCCACCTTCTAGACACTGCCAAACAATGCCCACATGTACACCCCACGACCTTTCTAGTTCCATTTTATATGTTATCTTCTCTCACTAGAATGTCAGCTCCTTGAGGACAGGAACTGTCTTACTTTCTTACATTTCTATCCTCAGTACTTAGCAACAGTGACGGTACATAGTAAGCACCTAATAAATGCACTTTAATTCATTCAAAGGGCAGCTAGGTGGCACAGCGGATAGAGCACTGAGCCTGGAGTCAGAAAAACTCATCTTCCTGAGTTCAAATCTAGCCTCAGACACTTACTAGCTGTGCCACCCTGGGCAAGTCACTTAACTCTGTTTGTCTCAGTTTCATCAACTGTAAAATAAATGGCAAACTGCTAGTATCACTGCCAAGAAAATTTCAAAACGACTAAACAAGCAACAATTCATTCCAAGTCTCACATCTAGAACTACATCTATTCTATTGCATAATCATCACAAATATTTGCTGAGTGCCCACTCCACAAGCAGCAGCCCAGTGCATCCACCCACCTATCATCCTCTGCAAAGTTGCCAATGCTACCTAAGTATTCTTTCCACACCCGTTTCCAACAAGAGCTTTTCAATGTGCCCTCTTCCTGACAAAAACCCAGATTCTTCTTTCCTCATTTATATCATCAGAAACTGGCACAATATACTTTGACTTCCCATCCCCCAAATTCCCAGTGAGAAAACGGTACAGAGACAAAACATTGTAATACATATGAGACAGAGAGAAAAGTGTCACCTTCCCCAGAGCGCCACGTCAGGGGTGCCCTTTCTGTAGACGGTGTCATCAGCATCACTGGTCCCATTGGCGATCTCTCCAGGATAGCCCATTATTATCCCACCATCAGAAGAGACACTGAGGACATCTTGCTGTGGCCCTGAAGTCCTCTCCAAGAACTGACTGCCTTCCTTGATGCGCTGTTGGATCATAGGCGTGAGAGGCATTTCAAAGCTGAAATAGCTATCAGGTTCTGAATATAAAGTCTCCAGCGACTCCGCACTATAGTATAAAGAAGTATTATCCAGAATGGTTTCAAATTGGGAGCTGTATACATCAGTTGAATCTTCTGTGTACCCAGGCCCCAGAACATCATCATCTTCTCTGGTTGATTCCTCTTGCTCAATGATTCTAGGGGAAGGGAAAAAAAAAAAAAACAAGAGTTAACATTTTCAGTAACCCATTTTTTAAAAAAATAAAGTATTACCTACTCAGTGTACCACAGTATCAATGAAAACACTCTGGGGGAAAAAACAAAAACAGATGAAATCCCTAGACACGTTTAATGATATGCTGTCTGGGGAAAGGAAATATCATAAAATACTTTAAAAATTAAAATGCTTATAAAAATAACTTTTTAAAAATCTTACGCTAGATATCACGTAGGTATCTTTAACTCAACATACCCCAAACAGAACTCATTATCCTTCCCACTTCTGAACTTCCCTGTTACAGTCAAGGGCACCACCATTCTTCCAGTTGCCAGGGCTCACAAATTTCGTGTCATCCTTGATCCCTTACTCTTACTCAGCCCATAAAGCCAATCCTTGCAAACACTTGTCATTTTTATCTTCATAGCATCTCTGGTACACAGGCCCTTGTCTCTCCACTCACACAGCAATCACTGGAGTTTATGCCCTCCTCACCTCTAGCCTGGAATATTTCATTAACCTTCTAATCATTCTGCCTGCCTTGTCCCCCAGTCCATTCCAATCCATCCTCCACTAAGCTGCCAACATGATTTTTCTAATACATAGAATGACCGTGTCATGCCTCTGAGTGATGAGTTCTAGTAACTCCCTGTTAGCTCCAGGATCAAATACACACACACACACACACACACACACACACACACACACACACACGTGTGTGTATATATATATGTATGTGTATATATATACATACATATACACACACACACACACACATATCTGTTAGCATTTATAGCTCGAGAGAAACACAGAGACATTCACACAGAGAGGTAGATATCTATATCTACATTATCTGTATATCTTGTACATACTTATTTATATTACATCTTCGTTAGAGTACACATTCTTTGAAGGCTGGGACTGTTTTTGTCTGACTTTGTGTCTCCAGCACTGAGCACAATGGCTGGCATATGGTAAACATTTAATAAATGTTTATTGAGTGACTGAAAAAAGTCATTAACATCCATTCCCAAAGACACTGACATAATGCTGTAGGACCCCAACTAGCTTCATAAATGATGTGTGAAAATCCTCATGCAATGCTTGGCCCATACCTTGTTTTATTGTGCTTTGCAGATGCTGCATTTTTTTACAAACTGAAGATTTGCAGCAACCATGCATTGAAGTCTGTCGGCACCATTTTTCCAACAGCATGTGCTCACGTTGTGTCTCTGTGTCACATTTTGGAAATCCTTATAAAATTTCAAACATTTTCATTATTATTATGTGATCTGTGATCAGTGATCTTTGATGTTACTATTGTAATTGTTTTGGGGGTCCACAAACTGTGCCCATAAGACTTTGAATTTAATAAACGTTGTATGTGTTCTAACTGCTCTACCGACAATTCTACATCTCTCTCCCTCTCCTCAGGCCTCCCCATTCCCTGAAACAAAACAATATTGAAATTAGGCCAATTAGTAACCCAACAATGGCCTCTAAGTGTTCAAGGAAAAGGAAGAGTCAATCGATGTGTCAAACTTCTTCGTTGTCTCATTTTAAGAAACTGCCACAGCCACTCCAACCTTCAACAACCACCATCCTCATCAGTCAGCAGCCATCTGCATCAAGGCAAGAACCTCCCATCAGCAAAAAGATTATGACTCGCTGAAGGCTCAAGATGTTTCAGTTATATACATTGTTTTTCAGACATAACACTACTGCAGACTTAATAGACTACAGTATAGTGTAAACATAACTATTATATGCACCTGGGAAACCAAAAAATTCATGTGACTCACTTTATTGTGATATTCGCTCCATTGTGGTATTCTAGAACAGAATTCGCAGTATCTCCAATGTATGCCTGTATACCTAAGATACTAGATAAAACATTTTCAAAAAAATGTCATTCCCACTTAAAATTTCTCACTATGAACCATCACCATGACAAAAGGTTCCATGGAGCTGATTCCAATGGCTTTCAGGAGAACAAACTGTTAAATGTTTAGTATGAGCAACTCAGAAATAGCATATCCTACAAATCAGGGATTAGTTCATTGTTTTGATGATTCTTTAGACTTAAGAAAGTTATGGATGAAATGTAAATTAGGTAGATTAAAAACAAAATCGTATCCTGCATATGCCTCCCACCCCCAAGTGTGTTGTTAAATATTTACTAGAACATCCCAGCCTATAACCATTAAAAAAAAAAAATGAATAAATAAAAAAGAATAGAAATAAACTAAGCTTTAACATGTTCTTTCATTTAGACACTGAAAATTCAATTCAATTTAATCAACATTTATTAAGCACCTACTGTATAGGCACAGCTTTGTGTCAAGACATAGGATAAAAAGCAGAAACAAAATGTTGCATTCATAACTGAGTTGAAGTGGAGCCATCTGGTGTCAGGAAAGTAGTATTACATAAAACTAGGGTTTATGTTGAATTAGGAAAAACCAATCAGCTCCCCCTTGTAGGATTTCTAGACTACTGATTTGTCTTCTTTCTCATTTGAGCAATTGGGGAAAATTAAGGGCCCACCCTAAGGGATACATACACATGGTTGTGGGTATACGTATTAACTAAGGGAAACTAAAGAAAGCAAAGGGAAGAGCCCATATTTGGCCATTCCAAACCAGTAAGATTATATTAAAATTATTTTTTAAAAAAAAGTATTCCTTAAGCACTTATATATGCCAAGTACTACACTATGTGCTAGGGAAACAATTACAAAAGCGAGGATGGGTCCCTGACCAGATCAGGGGAGGTATGGCCAGAGAAAGTTCACTTTGGATCTGATATTAAGGTGAATGGGGCCAAAGGGGAAGAGGTCGGCACACTCCTACCAGGAATAATTGCAGAGTTGATTTGATCATGGTTTCAGAACTGCAGAAGCTATGTAGTTAGCAAGTGGTTGTCAAGGCTGTTCAAAAAGATGGCCAGGTTGTAAAGTAGGGAGTGTTGGACTATAGGTGAGGGTTTACAGCTCAGAAATCAGCAAAGGCCACAGAATTAGGGCTTGATTTATTGTTTTACTGACTGTCTAGACAAGAACATAATGGTTAATAATGTTAATAAAATGTTAATAAAACTTAAAATTGTGTCCTGAGCACATATTTTTCCCCAGATGTTGCATTATAAACATTTACCAGCACACCTCTGACTATAGGGCTCTATGGAGGATGACTGAATGTCCTGAGAAACCAGGGATTCCTTAAATCCATGTTATGGAATCATAATCAGAGGCTACAAGAAGAAGAAAAAAGAGAAAGAAACATCCCCGGTTCCACACTGCTTTTAGCAGCAGGACACAGTCTAGGAGGAATGGAGTAGACAGGGCCGGTGAAGAGCTTCTTCCAGGAGAACTTGGGGCTGTGACTATTTCCATATACTTCTGAAATTTATGGCTGTTCATTCTATGATTTCTATTTTGCTTCTCTCCTTTTAATCAGACTTGCCTCTGACACTGCAAACGGTATACTTGTGAACAGAACTTTGGTGTCAGTACACTGCAATGAGTACCATGTACATGTTTGCCCAGGTTTCCAGGGCAATGGCTATAAGCCACGAGACTAAGAAAACCTCCTCCTGTCCGTACGATTGGGTCCTCATGTCACGAGACAATCAGTTTCACATTAAACAAGGTGACCAAATCTGCTGATTTTGAACCCAGTGCAGAAAATCTTCATTTTACAGCATGGAGGTCAGAGATGCCCAAAAAACCAGAGGCTTCTAGTTATATTTGTTGCAAAAGTAGAAACCATCCTCAACAAATGAACTGTATTGTACTACTATTCATTCACTGCACAACTTTTCAATCATCTACTAATCATGGTGCAAAGAACAGAAAATCTACTTTCCAGTCCCACACCACCACCAAGTGCCCTGTGGCCCTAACCACTGAACTTGCAGTGGGCAATGATCAACCCAGTACTTACAGAAGCCAGATGTGTAGCCTTCCAGGTGGCTAACCTGGGACCTAGCTGGTACTCTAATTCCAACATGAGCTTAAATCCCAGAGCTACCACTTTCTACCTATGGGACACTGAATAACGATCCTTTCTGAAGCCCAGCGTCCTCATCTGTAAAATGAGCGGGCTGGACTGGATGATTTCTTTAAGTCCCTTCCACTTCTAGATCGATAATCTGAGGAGACTTTGGATGCCTTAATTGCTATGTGATAACAATAGCTAGCACTTGTTGTTCAGTTGTTTGAATGGTATCTGTGACCCCATTTGGGGGTTTTCTTGGCAAAGATCCTGGAGTGGTTTGCCATTTCCTTCTCCAGGTCATTTTACAGATGAGGAAACTGAGGCAAACAGGGTGAAGTGACGTGCCCAGGATCACACAGCTAGTAAGTGTCTGAGGCTAGATTTGAGCTCATGAAGATGAGTCTTCATGATTCCAAGCCCAGTGCTCTTTCTCTCTGCACCATCTAGTTGCCCCAATAGCTACTATTACAGCTCATCCTAACCTGAACCTGGCTCTACCTTTACAATATTCTTACACTGTACTCCTCTCCATACACCCTATAATCTAGCTAACCTTAAAATCGATAATAGTTCATCTTTAAACAACAGAACAGAAGTCACTCCCAAGCAAAATTTATCACTTTAATCTGAGCCATATTCCTATCATAGGCCTCTGAATCAGGAGGAGAGCTGAGGAAAGGAGGGGAGGTGAGGGGAGGAGAAGAGAATCTGAGACCTAGCCGCTTGCTATCCATAGCGCCATATATGCTTTCTAAAGCTACATATTTTCCATAAACCTGGATTGTATAAAACCTGCAAACCAATTACAATTACATTAATTCTTCAATGTAAAAATACATGAGCCATTGAGGAGGAAATTTTCCCCCTTTCAAAGAGATCTCAGTGTACGGGTGCAACCTATATTGGAATATTATGATCTATTCACAGAATCCCAGAATTTGAGAGCAGGAATGTAACCCTACCCATACACAAAAGGAATTCC